AAAAAAAAAAAAGTTTCAGAGTGTCCTGAAAAGGAACTATTTTGAGTTAAACTGTAAGAAGGTTGGAAGAATGTGAAGCTGCTAAAGCATAAGAAATTACTACAGTTTGTCTAGGCATAACATAGTCATTATATTAAATGGCTCACTTCCTTCTCAGAAGTTGACTTGGTCATTTGAACTTTAAAGGAAAAAGGAAACATCTCTACTGAGTAATGGTTAAAAAGGAAGACTCCTAGACTTCTAGAGGACATGAGACTTATCTGTTAGTTTTGTAGAATATCAACTATTATAAATACTAATCTATATCTTTTGGTATAGTGAAGGATTTATTTGGAGATCAAAAAAAAAACCCTCTCAAAGCTAAAGCTGCAGCTTTAGGACAGCTATTCATCAGTCAGATTCACCAAAGGTGGATGCTTAACAGGTGATGTGGTACCAGCACTTCAAGAGAACTTGCTGAACTGTTTCAGTTCACTCAATACAGGTAAAGTGCATTTTTCTGATTACAGTTTATGTACAGCACCACATGGCCATTCAAAGGACAGCTGCAGAATGCACAGAGCCTGACCCAGATCATCTGAGGCTTCCCCGCATTCAAGAATAGAAGAAAAAAAGTGAAGAGGGACGGCCTTCCCTCCTCAGCTGCCTGTTGTAAGGCACTGATAGGCAACAGCCCACAGGAAATGAATACTCTCACACAGCTCCTCTAAAGCAAAGGCAGTGACAGCCAGAGTTTGGCATATGTATGCTAGGGAGGGGAGGAGGGACAGGAAGCAATCAGCAAGAGATGCTGATAAAAGGAAAGAGCCTAACAACTCTGAGAAAAAACCTTCCTGCTCCTGCAGAGACAGACTGCAAAATGCTAGACCAGGGTTTTCCCCCAGACTCAAAAAGCTGTTTCAGGTTGCTTGTAGCAGAGTCAGTATACAGATCAGCTAATTTAATTCTTTTTGTAGCAGTGTGTGCTGTTTTCCCTCCCTGGACTTACATATTCACCAGATTTCCACATTTTCATCACTTAATTGAATAAAGAAAAGTATTTCTTGAATGTTTTGTTTAAACACTATCTCCTGTTTCAGGCTCTGGCTTTTGATTTGGAACCCTAGCAGCTAAAAAACCTCTCTATTAGGAAATACAAAACTGTATAGATTACCACAGTGATTTAGATAATATTTCCACTACCTCAGATAACAGCTGCTCCTTCACACCTTTCAGCTCATTGCATCAACTGCAAGCCAGCCTGTGTCACTAGAAAAGTTTAGTGTTCAGAAATAAAGACTCAGAACTATATGAAGACGTTCTGTTATTGCATCCAACCATGTACAATTGTACCATCTTAGGTAACATGGCAACCGAGCACTTAGATAATTAACTATGTCCAAAAGCCTTCTTACAGAGGATTAGGTCTATAAAATTAATGAATTCTTCTTGCTTCAGGAGAAAATAAACAGCTTTGCTGCCCACATCAATTTGGAAAGACCAGATTTATGTATATGATCATGCCACTGGTGACAGTGCTTAGCACTGCGAACAACCTGCAAGCCTCATTCATTTCAGCAGGGCTGACAGATGCTGAGCTTTATTAAGTCTGTCAATACTGTTTTCCTATGTCTGCTACCTGCTCATGACATCTCATGACAGAATTTGACATCTCATATTTTTCTAGTGGGTAGGATGGTCTGCAGGGTGGGGCCTGGAAAAATAGTTTACAGATGATTTCCCAATGCTATTGCTAAAGGAGTGTGAAAGCCGCAGAGCTTCACACTCTTCCCTATTTGTTTTTGTCTGCTGTTTTCTTGTTCCCATCCCCTATGTTAGTCAGGCATTTATTTTTAGATAAAGAACAGATAAGCAGAACAATCCATTTCAGGGGAACACATCTTCACCTGTCACCCAGATGACTGACTGTGACTCCTGTGCATTATGCTGTTGACTATTCAGCAATGAGCTGATCACCTGGGCCTGCCCGAATGGAAGAAAATACAGTGTCTGAGACACCATTTTAAAGATTTCTTTAGAAGTGAACTGTTATGCCAAACACCTCTGTGTAATTCATTTCCTCATCAATTGTGTTAAGAACATTTTTCCTGAACAGAAGCATTAGCAATCCCACAGTGCTGTATTGTGCTTTTCTCAGCAGGTTTTAAAGACCTTCAAGACTTCTCCCCTGCTCTCCAGGTAAAGTGTGAGGTGGGTGGGAATTGTATAGGGCTGGCTGACAGAGTGCAGGTCAACAGGTACCCACCTTATGTCTATGCATGGGCTAGCTTCATAATGGCACAATCCTTGTGTCCTCTTCTGGGAGGGTGCTTGGAAACATCTTGGTATACTATAGATGGAATGAATAAGTCTGCTGTATTAGACTCTTTCCATCATCTTTCTCAGGAGCTTAGAGGCAGTGCTCTTGCAGCATGACAGTAGAGCACAGAGCCTTCATAAAAAAGGAGGAATTCTTCTGATCTCTGAGGCCCACCCACAGACAATCTAATTAACTGGGGGCACTCAGAGCACAGTGAACATGTCTGCATGCAAACCCAGTCTGCAGGCTTAGAAGGACACTGTGCACATGCAGCCAAAAGGGCCATGGCACATCTGATATTAAAAGTAATTATAATACTCTTTAAATTGAAGTACTTGGAGTTTAGGACTCATCCTGCACATAGAAACTCTAATCTCATCTCAGGGCAGGTGTGGATCAAAACCAGTCCATAAATAGGTGTACAGCATTCACTAGCAACATTTAGATCTGTGTGCCCTTTCCAAGAAGAACATCTTCCTCACAGTTATCTTCTCTCCCCTCCTCCCCACCAGGAATATCTTAAATTTTAAATGCAGCTTCCCTTTTCCCACCTCAATAAGACTGCAATTATGGCTGAGTTCATAGGTCAACTCACTTATGACTGAAATTTCTGATCTGTTTAGAGATATATTTATGTGATAGATGACAAAGAAAAAAAACAGACTATCTTCAAAAGTCATGTATTACACTGTGTTTCAATCAAAAACATCACAAACAGCAGGCATAACTATCCCAGCTCCCCCTGAAAAAGGCTATTTTTATTCCTGTATGTCTGCTTCTGCCCTCATAAGGCAGGCTCTAAAACCCAATCCCATCCCAAAGCTGTAGTCCCAGCTAAAAACTGGGCCTCACTGGGAAGAGTCTAAAAACATTTAACAGTGGTTTCTGACACTGCTATGGCTGAAAATGCAGTCAGCTCAGTGAAGAGCTAATTCCTCCACACCTCTGGGAATTCAGCTGTTACAGTTTCACTTCTGCTCCTCCTATGCTCTCAAAAGCCTCATGAGAATCATCCAACCTTTGGGCATAGTGTTTACACTTCCACAGGTTACAATCTGAGACAATGAGCTCTTTGGGAAACAATTGGCTTTTCATTACTGATTGTGTCACATACACTGCAGGTGCTACAGCCCTGGCCCATGGCTGACAGACTCTAGGATGACTGAATGACTTATAAGAAAATGATCAACACCATACAGTGCAGGCTGCAAAGTGTCATGAAAACACCTAAAAAATACAATGACACCTCTCTGTACTTACCTCGGGTGGGATGAGAAATGAAATACCAACACTATTTGCAGGAGCAAAATTATTCTGAGTTTATGAAGGGAGTTTATTTTTGTAGATGGGGGGTATTTTAGGTTGTCTTTTGCTTGTTTGCTTTTGATAAAACTGCCAGAGCAGCCTTCTTTGCAATTACTATGCTGCAAAAGGAGTTATGAAAAGTATGTCTTACCATCATAGTATTAAGGTAAACGTGGCTCTGTCTTCCAAGAAAGAGATAATGTGCATAAGAACAAGAGAGATCAGATGATACAGTTCACAGCATGAATATGAAATAGCATAGCTAAGATTTCAGAAGCTCACCAACTGACTTGGAATCACATTTGTTGCAGAGACATACTTTTTTTACCCACAACTTAACACACTGTATTTTTTCATTATGAAAAAACAACAGTTTTAAAAGCAGTGTAGGTGGCTTTTTTAATTATTATTTTTGAGTGGAGCAGACCTTTTATTCTACTTGTTTGTCTGATTAAATCATTCTGGTATTTCTCTTAAACACTGTTATGTAAGTAACCTCTCTTGTCACTGTACTGCAAAATAAGCCTTGTGCTGGTGATTTGTGGAGGAGCCAAGACCTCTCAAGAAAGATCTGAACATTCTGGAGCACATTTGAGACTGTTAGGAACAAGAAAAGAAGAAGGGAGCTACCAGAAATCACACAGAACTGTCTTACAAGAGTAAAGTAGGTAAGGGAAACACAAATTTCCTGAAAACCATTCAATGTTAAAAATATTTAAGAACCGGAGCTAATTCAGGTAATAGGAGTACTGAACTGCAACACCTTAAAATAATGCTTCAAGGGGAAGAGAAAAAGGCAGCTAGGAGATACATGGCTGTAATTGACAGACACACCAAGTAATTAATTATTAAATTCATGCTGTTTGTCAGCTGCAAATGGAAGGCTTATGCATAATTTAAGACAGTATTTTAAGTACTACTGAGCCTTCTGCTTGACATGTCTAATTTTTATCCAACTATTGCACCCCATCACAAGAGGGGACACCTCCCTGTCTTTGTTCAGTTTTAACACCTGACTTCACGTACTTACAAGCAGTTACATGTTTATTTCCTAGAAATATAACTCTATATTCCCATTCAGAATTGTTCTATTCCCTTCCCCCCAAATGGCACCAGTGAGGCCCCTATCAGCAGAAAAAGAGACAACACTGTACAGAATGGAACTGGAAGCTTACTTAAAAGAGACAGTATCACATCCATAAACCAGAACTGTCTTCCTGAGGCATTATCAATGCCAGGTTGTACTTCAAACTGGCACATTTCTAGTTCACATTATATTGTCTTTATTCACACCTAGGTGCAAAGATCTTCAATTCTGCTAGGCCAGGTCAAAGTGCACATATGACTGCTATTTTCCAACCCAAACCAACTCAACAAGGTTTTTTTGCACACTTACTCTGGAGATGGTCAAGGGCATGTTGAAGTCCTTGCCCCCTTGCAGTCGGAAGCCCCAGGGTCCAGGTCCATTCAGAGTCACACTGTAAGCCATGTTGTACCACTTTCACAGGCAGCAAAAGGGCACTGCAGGACAGAAGGACGGGCAGACAGAAAAAAGTGTGAAAAAACAGACTGAGAACAGGGGAGGGTTTTACATAAACGAAAGCAATTCTCTCTCTGCCTTGCCTGCTCAGTCGTGCTCTGATACCACCTAAGAATAGATGGGAGCTATAATGCAGATGCTGATATCCCAGCTGAGGAGGGCCCATAAAAGGTTTGTAACCAGACACCTACTATGCAAAGACTTCATGACTCAGAGGTCTAATATAGTCCCCACGGAAGGGGACAGATCTTTCTAGGCTCCTCAAGCCCCTCATGCTGCTCAGTCACTTTATGGACAAAACACATGTTTTATTAAAACAAGCAAACAAAATCCCATTCTAAAATCCCAAACACCCAAGTCTCTTCACTAACCTGTTAACAACTACTACATGTTTAAATTCTGCTTCAGCACATAGGTATGCACTGTGACATATAATACAAGTTCTTTCTATATAGATAATTCCACATGTAGCAGAAAAGGCACCAAGAAAATGTTAACCTTTTCTTGCAATGCTTTGTTAAACTGAAAAAAGTATACACTACATGTATTTAGCATCATCAAAAAAAAAAAAGCCCACAACTTCATGTTTGGCTCTTAGTTCCACAGCCCTTGCTTTGCCTAGGAAAAATTAACATTTATTTTTTCTGAACACAGTCATGGGACACTTCTAATCAGCATATAATTTCTGTGATAAAAGCATGGTTTCACTACATACCTGTTTCATAATTTCAATACAAGTCTTCTAAAGGTGTGACGCTTGAATTAAAGGCTAAGAATACAGATAGTTAGCTAATTGCTGCCTTAATTAATTCCTTGATTTTTTCATAGATTACATTCCAGTTCTTAGGAGTTCCATAAAACTATAACCCTTGTTCAGTAATGCTGGATAGCAGTTCTGCCCTAGATTGGAAATTGCTAAAATACAGAGGGCACGAGGGTAGGGAGGAAGCTGTTGGCAGAACTACAGATATAAACAGAAAGTTTCTGCTCTCAGGGAAAAGCTACAAACATTAAATAACACTCACCCCTTTCAAGTCATTAATTTATGCAGGACCTGCAGAACCCCTCTTCTGTATCTCTGCAGCATTTATCCTCCTCTATCCTCTGGTTAGAAAGAAATTGCCATTATATTTAAAAAGGGGGGAAAATGTCCCTCAAACATGGGTTCTACTTTGACAATCAAAAAGACAAGCAAGCCCCCACAATGCACTAGAGTGAGGCAGCTCAGCTTGAACATTGATCACCCTGCCAATACACCTACCTTAAAACATGACAAATATCTGATTACAAAACAGCAGAGAGCAAACACTACCAGGAACTCAGTCTTTGTCTAAAGAGATGGTCAATAATTTTTCAAAACCATGAAGCAATAAAAGTTTCTGTCTAGCATTCACAGTGCCAGAAAAGCCATTTGTACAAGGGAATAATTAATCTCTGCATAGGCACTAGACTAAACCATATGACCCTCTGTTTTAGCCAGAGGTCCACATTAAACCACAGCAATTCACACAGATTTAAATAAAAGTTGCACTAAGCCTGTGGAACTGGCCCCAACCAAAATGAAAGCAAATAGCAAGATACAGCTTGAGAGTAAAGAAGGGTTTTGATGTCTCACAAATACCTTGAAGGTACATTTACATTAAGAGTATTTATAACCTGTGCTCTGTGAGTCCAGAACCACTGATGTTTGGATGATTACTTTGAAGGGAGGCAAAACGGGCTTGTTGGACTTAAAAATGGCAGTTTCCTAGCCTGCCAGTTTATCTAGTACTGATTTTTTTTTTGAAAGCCACAAGCACAAACAAAAGTTTGAAGTCATATTCTCATTGTACTTTTACTTTTCCTAGGAATTCACTGCTGGTTTTAGTGCCCTTTCTTGGCTCCATTTCAAGAGTTCAGGAGAACAGAATAAAAGCAGGAGTAAGATAAACATAACAAGTCATTGCTTCACTACTAAAGACAGTATCACATAAATAAGTATTAGAAGAAAGCCCACCGTTTTATGGACTTAAAATTCTGTGCATGTTACCTTCCCATGCCTAAATCTTCAGTTATTTGTGTAAATAACAGAAAAGGGGGGGAAGCAAAACTCAGAACAGAATAAAACCACACAACAAACTGAATAGAGCTAAGCACTGAGAAACAGAGATGCTGTTTAATCAAACACTGTGCTTCTGTCCTACTTTCACATCTCTAACATGCTATTTTCTTATCAGGACATCTGAAAGGATCTGAGAGATCCTCCAGGCTGAGTGGCGAGCAGCTAAGAAACGAGAGCGGGCATCGCATTCGGGTCTCTCTGTCATTTGAATGAAATGTTAAACTGAGGTCACTTGTTCCTGCTCCTTTGGTTTCTGTCCATGTCTGCACGAATGTTCAGCATAGCTTGGCATTTTTAAAAGGAAAGTGCAGAGAATATGCCAACATCCTGGCCAACGTTTCCCTTCAACACACCAGGACCACAGGTCTTTCATGCATCTGCACTACCCCTAGCAGGTGCAATTCAGAGAAAGAATATTCCAGAATTTTCTCGCTCTAAACCTCTCTAGTGTCTGTATCCCCTCTGCCTGCCTGAAGCCCTCTGCTCCTAAAAACAAAGTTAAAATGCTACAGAAGCTCATGCTGTAGTCACAGGTCCATTTGCTAGAGACACCCTGAGCACAGGTCTCACCTTCTACAGACTTTCAGTGCAATCAGCCCCTAAATAACAAAGCTGGTGATTCACCCAGATGGCTGTTTCAGCCCTGCCCTGTTTTCAAAGGTGAGACATCAGTGTAGCAGGTACAGTGTCGCCACAGCTACCAGCACAAACCCCAGCAAAACCTTCTGGGAAACCAGAGGCTGAAGTAAACTGTGTGTACAGAACTGTCAATTTCCTTCTTTTTCAGAGGCTTCTGATGTTTAGATTAGGTTTTAAGTTGCTTTACATAATTGTCTGCTAGTCTGTTTCAAAAATAATTTTTGTTTGCTCAGATTTTGTTTCTCTTGGTGTGCCTTCTTCCCTACATTCTCTGGCTAGGTCAAAATCCATGACTTACTTAAAGCTCCCTCCCTTCAGAGAGAAGCTATGCTGAGTGCTGAGTCAGATGAGGTCACTGATGTAAGGGGTGACATTTAAAAAAAACCATATTCCAGGAGCAGGGTGACATTTTCTCTACACATATCAAATCAGAGGATTTTCCAGAGCTCCCCAGGCAGCCCCCCTCCTGCCCCAAGCTATTCCCAGCTGACTGATGGGAACAGTTGTGAGGAAGCTGGATGGGTACCAGGCACAGGAGAGTGCCACCACCTCCAGCAAATGCCTCTAAGCCCGAGCAGAGCTGTCCTTCCCCAAGCCCAGCAGAGATGTTACACCAGGGAAACAATTCTCACGTGCTAGGAGACCATGCTGTGAGTATTCCAGTGAGCTGACTTTGGGAGAGACACAGCTGCATGCTCGGGAGTGCACACACATGAAGTGAATGAAATAAAAGCCACTAGTAGCAAGGCTAAATTAAGGTGGAAGGAAACAAGTAATGGAAAGTCCAGTTGTTCAAGTTGCTACTACTTCACAAAGCTGGACACATTAGTCAGGGGTTATATTTTAGCTCCCTGTGGCACAGGGGAGACTTGAATTACTGTTACTGCAGCAACAAGGTTGTATCATTTGGATCATCAAGGATTTCAGAAGTGGATTGCTTGAGAGCTTGACTTCTGAGCTGCAATAGACTATGCATCTCTGGCAAATAATAAGATGCTTACAAGGTCATGGTTTCAATGTTTTATGTTTAGGCAGGTGAAAGATTTGTGCCATGCATGAATAAACTATCATCTCCTCTTTAATAGAAAGATGTTCAGCAAGCGGGATAGACTTTCCCTTAGGGGAAAAAAACCAACCCACCAAACAAACCCAAACAAAAACCAACCAACAAAAAAAAACCCCAAAAACCAAAAAACCCAAAGAAAGACAGGCAAAAAGATTGTCTTCCTTTCAGTCTCCCTCACCTGAGGGAGTGGCAGTACAAGAAGGCAGCATTCAGCTTTATGACAAACATGCTCTTTTTGTCCTATGGATTCCTGCACCAGGACAATCATCTACAATCCTTCAGAAGAGTGGGAAAGTGAGGTGAATGGAGCCTTTGAAGAAACCACTCACTAAACGCACCCATCAAGAAAACCCAAGCTTTGAACCCATTGTTCAACATATGCAATCCTAGAGTTTTCCCAAGTTTTGAATCAACCCAATGCTCAGTACACTTGACATGAAATCAACAGCTGTACTTAGGGACTGATCTTCATTGTCATCCACAGGAGGAAATAGTACACACTTAGTATGTATTAGCTAAGCAATGCTAAGGAATTTAAAACTGACACATTAGAGATGGAAAAAAAAAATAGCTCTGAATTCCTACCTTGCCAGTGGCAAACTGAACATAAAATTAATTATCAAGAGCAAAGATATTTTTCCCCACAAGTTCAATATTGCTTCCAAAGTAGGACTATTCTGCAAAAGAGCTCATTGTGATCTCCTTCCATTCACTGCTGAACGCTGAACTAAGTTGAGCTAATCCTACTTGTACTTCATGAACAGCTTTGTTTCACCTATTGATTTAAAATACTTCAATTCTCACAGACCTTAGGATTTCTGAGTTCATTTTAGCCCCTTTATCAAGTTGTCCTAAGTCTTGATCTTTCTCAAGCCACTAAATTTTCTATCACTCTTGGCTTCACCACATTCAGCTTTGTCAATACCTTACTAAGACTGTGCTTTGTGGGTTCCAGAAAAAGCTGATAACGCTGGGGAGATATGCTAGAGCAATATAATGATAGACTATTATCTTCCTTCTCTATAATATAATGCCTTCAGAAATGCAGCTCAAATGTTTCCTGTTTGGCTGATTGCTGCTGCCAGTATCTCTTTACCAATTAACTGATTTGCTATCTACCCCTCCCTCTAGATCCTTCACCAT